ACAGGATTCCAAATGTTATTGAGGTATGGACACTGTATGTCAATCATTGGCTCTAGATGCTTTTAAGGGAAGACTTCATTCAGGAGATCCAGAACAGAAACAGTGGCAGAAATTATATTGAAAAGTGAAAAAGAAAATTACAGTCTAGAAACATTTGGAGAAGACAAGCCTGAGTATAGGGAGTAGCAGCTGAGTTGTGTTGAACAGTTTTTATTTGGCTATCTGTTTCTTGCTTCTTGACTTTGGATAATCTCTAGGTAGCCCACTGCTGCTTGGTGTTCCTGAATTTGTGCAGTTATTTTGCATCTTAAGTCTCTTCATATGCTCTCTGGGCAGGAAGGTCAAGATTGCAGATAGTATTCTACTCTTTACATGTGCTAAGTCACAGGAATCTTGTTCTTTTGGCAATCTTGTCCTGTAGGTAATATGGGAGAAAGAGAATGTTGTGCTACCATCTTCAACTTCCTCCTCTCAGTTACCAAGAGAAGAATCTGGGAGGTTCAGGACTACTGAAGTCTGTGATGTGCACATTTGTTGTGTAGATATGTGTATAATCTCCTGGCAGCTAGGGAAAACCCCCGCAGCTCTTTCTCTCACTCACTGTCCTGGTTCCGTGGACTAGGGCTGCTTCCCCGCCTGGGGTGGCCCAGGTGATGGGCAGACAAAGAAGGAAATGAGGGCCAAGCTGGTTGATAATAATTTGCCCTATATTCCATTCTTCCCAAGCTCCTGTTCCAGTCTCACTAAGCCCCTCATTCTAGTCTCACACTGCCTCTTATTCCTGTCTCCTTCTCCTGCTCCTCTCTCCACGCTCCATCTCTCAACCTTGCTCTCTCTCCACGTGCCTGCTCCTCATTCTTCTCCTACATTCTTCTCCCTCAGTCCCCCTTGCTAGTCTTGCTGCCCTGGTCTCTGTTTCTCTCATCTCTCTCCAACTCTCTAGAATTGGGGGTAGTCACCGCACCCCTGCAGCAAAATCAAATCAACATATCCAAAGCCCTTCTCCAGCTCAAGGGCAAAATACCACTTAGGGGGTTTTCTGCTCACCTTAGTACAATAACTTAATTAACATCTTAATTAACATATAATATTAGTTATTTTGTATGGACACATTAAGAGATACATTAAGTTTCTAGGGTGGCTCTCGTGGGGACATCTCGCCACAGACTCAGACTATAATGCTCAGGCTGGATTAATCATTCCTAACCCTAGGAGGTTCTGAATCTAGTTATTACATTTTGGATAATGATGGAATTTGTCCATAACCATGCTCTTAACTTATAATGAAGCATTATGGCACTTTGACCAGACCCAGTTTGATGCCAGGGTAGCTCACTGCTTGCCCTGGGTCCATCCAGTTCCTTGTCAGGACCCTGCTTTTGGAGTGCTAGGAAGTAAGGGGAACTGAGCCTTAAGTCAATAGAACAGATGCTTAAGAGGAGAATATTATCTGGTCAATTAACTCCCAAGTTACAAAAGCATAGCATTAACTGTCTTCTTGTTTCCATACAAAAAGGACATTGCTCTGAATTAACTATGCAAAGGACTTAAGGTGAAGAGAAAAGCAAAATTTACAAGTTAACAGAAAACAAAGAAAGAGGTTACAAATAAACACAGAGGAATGGGAGCACTGTGATAGGAGTAACCCAATAAACCTAAACTCCCTGTGGCAAGGCTGAAAGAAAAAACCGATGTTATTCTACAGATATGATGTACTCTGGCAGGCAGATAGGGAAGGCCCCCTCCTAAGACAATGGTAATAAATTTCCTGGGAAGTAATAGCCCTTAATCACTTAATCATTTAACTTCCTGTTAGTAGTCGATTTGCTCGAGCGGGCGCCAGTAACGTCTCCATTTGTCCCTGTCGCATACTAGTGTAGCCCAATGGCATCTGTTTGCTCTGGGAACATGAAGAGCCTCAAACCGATCGTTCATGATCTTGATGAAGAAGTCTGACCTTCTGGTAGGTGGGCGGCCACGCGGTCTTTTGACATCCCGTGGAATCCAGTCGGTAACAGCTCTAGTCCAGCGGTTATCTTTAAATCTCATTACGTGACCAGCCCATCTGATTTTTGACACCTTGGCAAATGAGACAGCGTCCCTGATTCTTGATCGTCAACGGATGTCAGAACTCCGGATTCTTTCTCTCATTTGAGTGAAACGTGATATTCCAAGCATAGCTCTTTCAATTCTTCTTTGGGAGACCTGAATAGCGTTCTCATTCATCCTGTTTACCTAGGGCACAGGTCTCTGAGGCATGTGTTAATGCAGGAAGAACGGTGGAATCAAAGAGATGTGCCCGGAGCTGGAGGTTCTTCATCCTCTTAGCTATTTCTTCGACGTTTTTGAAGGCTTTCCAAGCCGCTCTCTTCCTCCTGCGCAGCTCGGGTGCCAGGTCATTTGTCATGTTGACTTCTCGACCTAGGTACACATAACTGTTGCATTCAGAGATGGTCGTTCCGTTGAGAGCGAATGGGGCATCAGGAACAAGGCTGTTTCTCATAAACATTGTCTTCATAAGATTCAGCTGTAGTCCTACCTTTCCACACTCACGGTCAAAGTTGGCCAGCATTTGTGCCGCTTGACTGATGTTTGGTGTTATTAAAACAATGTCATCAGCAAAGCGGAGGTGGTGTAGTTGCTGACCATCTATCTTCACTCCCATTCCTTCCCATTCCAGTCATCGCATGATGTTCTCGAGGGTGGCACTGAAGAGTTTTGGTGAAATGGTATCACCCTGCCGAACCCCTCTCTTGACATCAATGATTACTTCTTTGTAGAATGGTGAGATCCTGGTAGTGAATCTGCAATACAGCTCATGGAGGATCATGATGTATTGGGCTTGGCTAGGGCTTCAATGACCTGATTGGCTAGGGCTTCAATGACCGCTTCCGTCTTTATCGTGTGGATATGGTCGATGGTGCTGAATCCTTTGCGGAACCCTGCTTGCTCGCATGGTTGTCCTTCATCTAGTATTCTGCCAATCCTATTTAGGATGACTCGAGTGAACAACTTGTAGATGACAGACAATAGGCAGATCGGGCGATAGTTGCCAATGTCATGGATGTCTCCCTTCTTGAACAGTAGTACAGTCCTGCTGGTTTTCCATTGGGACGGAACCTTGCATTCAGACAGGTAGCGAGTGAAGAGCCGAGCCAGTGTATTGATGAGTACTGATGTCAGGTTCTTCAGATGTTCAGGTCTGACCTTGTCTGGGCCGGGTGCTGTTCGTTTCTTTACCGACGAAATGGCGTGTTGGATTTTGGAAGGGAGAACATTGGAAACGACATATCCATCCTGTGGAATTTGGTATGTTGGCAATTGGACATGGCTATCGAAGAGATTTAAGTAGAAGTCATGGATAATCTTCTCCATTGCAGTCATCTTGGTCTTGTAGTTGGCGAAGGACAGGCGGGCATTACGAATACTTTTCCCGGCTTCTGCCACATCTACCAGCACTTCTGCTCTTCTCTCTTTGAGGTCTTCCTTGATCACATCTCTGCACTGCTTTTGAGCTCGGACGTTAGCTTGCGGTTGACTGAGGCATGCGCCAAACCATGCTGGCGAATAAGCTCAAGAGTTTTCGAAGACAGTCGTTTTTTTGTGACTATCTCTCTCTTGGCGTTCCTCGCACATTCATGGAGGTGCTGTACCAGTCGATCGTATTCCTCGTCAATGTTGTCAACAATGGCATCTTCCCATGTTGCCGCAACAGTGTCAAAGAGCTCCCAGTTGGTGGTCGTTCTGGGAGTTCTCTTTGTAAACTTTGCAGCCCTTTCTACCCGCTCTGTGAAGTAGAATTTTGCATGAAGGAGACGGTGGTCCGATCCCATTCGGAATTTTGGGACAACAGTGACATCGGTCAGGCAAAACCCTCGATTGAATATATGTGGTCTATTTTGTTGTGGAATCGTCCACCGGGAGACTCCCATGTCCAACGTTTAGATTCGGCCTTCTGGAACTGTGAGTTACCATGGATGGTCTTGGTTGACATGATGAACTCAGACAGTCTGTCACCCTGTTCGTTCCATTCTAGGCTATGGGTCCCGATGTGAAGTTCTTCAGCTGATCTTCTCGGTCCTATCTTGGCATTAAAATCACCCACAGTGATCTTGTAGAAGGTGTGGTCTTCTTTATAGAACTTCTCCAGCTCCATGTAGAACTTCTCAATTTCTCTTTCATCATAATGAGATGTTGGTGCGTAGACAACAAACAACGAAGATAGAAACTGCTGGCAGTGAGCCACGTCTATTCAAATGTAAACGTCCAATTCGGGTTGTTAGGCATTCGAATGAATCAATGCTCATGGACAAGTTTATGTTGACAAGGACACCGGCGCCTCCGACACCTCTTTTATTGCATGTTCCGAGGAACAGTTCTTCTCCAGTGTCGAAAACGGCTTGGTGAGATTCATGCCTTCTTGTCTTCGTCAGACCAATGATGTCGTATTTGATCATTCGTGCTTGTACCATCAGGTCCTCGATGGATGCATCTGATGCTAGCATACGTGCATTGAAAGTACAGATGATCATTTTTGTCTTCCTTCGTTGTGGCAGCCTAGTTCGGCCTTGAGATTTTATCGGCCTCTCCTTTCTCATCCTTCTCAGTGCTGCCATGTCGGTGAAGCCTTCTGGGTCAGGTGAATGAGACCAGTTGTAGTTACTGGTTTTGGCATATCGAATACACAACGGATAGCTAGCCAGGCTCTTCTGTGCAGGCCTCCTGGTGAACCTCAGCTCTGGGGAAGAATTTTATGATGAACAATCATTAACTCCTGTTTATCTCAAAAAGTCCAGGAATTTGAAGGGAGCCAAAAATGTAGAATGGACCAGCAAAAAGCGGGACTGCTCACAGCAGCTGGCAAGGATAAGGTGAGGCTTCCTCTTTCAGTATCAACTACACTAGGCCATTGTCAAACTAAGCTTAAGCTTCATTTGATTTACACAATGCAGCAAAAACACCCCCACAATGCCTACCCACTCTTCCACCCCTGAGAATTGTGACTTCAAGCTGAAAAAAGTGAAGTACATGCAGAGAAAATCCTGACGGATCATTTCCATTTGTTTTGGGACCTGTCCCTACAACTCTGCCACACTTTGTCCTTGAATTAATAAAAACTTAAAAGAAGTGAAGCTGGTGAGCCACCACACGTGGATTATGGGTGGGTCTGGGGGGAGGGAGATAGATGGTGACTTTCTCCAGATCCACTCCTGGTACACAGAAGCCATCTGAGGTTAGGACTGATGATGTCTCTGGTGAGCCCCTGCTGTGAGCCTCTGCACAGCACAGGCCAGAATTCCACCCGCATCCCCCACACCACATCAAGCCACACCTGATGTCTAGGTACCAGAATTGATGCCCACCACCAAATTTCTCTTGTTGATTCTGTATGGAGAGGGGTGGAGAGAGCCTGGAATGGCCTTTAAGACTGGCTTTTATATGCATATTCTCTTGGTTTGGAGTTTTCTGCTGGGAAGTTGGGGGGTTGGAGGGTTGGGGGGCAGGGGCGAGGTGGGGGTGTGAGCAGTTTGATCAGGTATTGTTACAAAGGAATAGCTTTGAAGTTTCAGTGAATCTCCTTCAAGTCCTTAATTAGACTCTGTCTCTGCTGAAGTTTGTCTTCTCTGTAGGGATGCAGTCTTCTCTGGGTTTGATTCTGTTGTCAGGCAAAGCCTTATCAGGTCTCAGTTCCTGTTTTCTGCAAAATGGGATTTTTGCAGATGCAAGGTTATTGATTTTATATTTTCCCAGGAAAGCCATTGCCATGGGGACCCTTCCCCATCTGCCTGCCTGCCTATATCACAAGGAATTGCTCATTGGCGGGGGGGGGGGGGGGGGGGGAAGGATAAAATCAGTTCTGACCTTTGCCCAGGTTTCCTCAGACCTATTGCCTACCCTTGCAGTCAGAGATTTAAGAGATAAATAATGAAGTAAGATAAATTTGATGCTTGGGGGTATGGTGCCATCAGCAGGTCAATCTGTACCTGTGAGGCAAATGCATCGGCAGCCTCATGGCATCTTCAGACTTCCAGATACCCTAAAATTGCTGTTGTGCCTTTGGTCACACCCCAAAAACTTGGGGCAAAGTTTATCAAGAATGTAAACAGCCAAAAGTTAGGTATGTGGGAGCCACACCCACAAACCACCTCCTACTCAGCTATATAATTGGAGACATGGACTCTGGTTTCTGATTGAACTGCTTAATGGCCATGATACCAGAGACTTAGAAACAAATCTCGAAACCCAGCAGCTTTTGGCAGAAATGCGCCGGATCCCTGCAGTAGGCTACCAGCGCTGGGCCACTCAAGGTGGGAATAGGTTTCGTGCCTTGGCCTGTTCCCACTGGCGGCCCGGTGGCTGTCATCCTCCAGAGGCCACTGGACAGTCAGGCTTGGGTCCACAGTGATGAAACACATGGGGCCTCATGGGATGGGGGTGGAGCCGGCCCTTTCCTCCCTGTCCCAACGAGACCCCGAGTCACCACCCACGAACGGCCTCTCTTGCTCCTGATCAAGCTGCTTAATGGCCATGATCACAGAGACTGAGAAACAAATCTTGAAACCCAGCGGCTTTTGGCAGAAGTGTGTGCGGACCGTGCAGTAACTTACTGTTGCTGGGCCACCCAGGGAGGAAAGGGTGTTGTCCCTCTGCCTACTCCCCTTAGGTGGCTGGGTGGCCGCCACCTTCCTGAGGCCACTGGACAGTCAGGTTTGGGCCTGCAGTGACGAGACACACGGGGCCTCACAAGATGGGGTGGAGCCAGCCCTTTCTTCCCTGTCCCAACGAGACCCTGAGTCACTGCCCACAAACGGTCTCTCTGGCTCCTGATCAAGCTGCTTAAATAAATAGCAGTACTCCCACATTAAAAGAAAAAAAAACAGATAAATTTGATGCTGGTGGGGTCCTCTGGTGAAGAGGGGAGGAGAGAAACAGCAGCCTCAAGAAAGGAATCTGATGCTTTCTCTCGACCCAGAAAGGTCTTGCTACCTAGGAATGGCTGGGAACATCTAGGACTGTGAACCTTGCTCCTTGCAGGAAAGGAACTTGTCTGAATCTTATTAATTGGCTATATGGACCTAGGCTTTTTTTTTTGGTTGTTATATTTATTTATTGAATCACTGTGGGAAAAGTTACAAAGCTTTCAAGATTAAGTCTCGGTCACACAATGATCAAACACCTTTCCCTTCACCAGTACTTATTTTTCACCACCAAGAACCCCAATATGCCCCCCTCCAATTTCTCCCAATGCCTGTAAGGCAGATGATTTCTACTTCTCTCTCTCTACTTTGACTATATTCATTATTTCGACAAAAGATGCACCATTGTTGTTTATAATTTCCCCCAACAGTCAGAACTGCTGAAAAGGCATTGTGAAATAATTTGTTTTCTATAGCTGGTTATGAGAACCATATGATGTCACGTGGCCACAGTAGCGGCTGCGTGATTTTGGATTTCTGATATTTTACTAGATAAGCTGGAGGGATTTCTGCCAAGAGCCAGGTAATTACAAGATTGGTTTCTGTGCATCTGGTGCTATGGCCGTGCTGGAATGCCACTCGTGGGGGGCAACTTGTGACCTCGTTAGGGTGTGAAGGACGAGCCAGTACTGCCTCCCTTCCCATGAGACTGCAGTTGCCCCATCACCGTTGGCTCATACTTGGCTTTCCAATATGCTCTGAAGCAGTGGCCACCTTGCTGCCAGGCGGGGAAAAGGCAGAAGGGAATGACACCCTTTCCCTCCTGGGGAGGCATGGAGCCGTAGTTTAACGCATAGTCCATTCACTTTTCTGCTACAAGCTGCCAGGCTCTGGATTAAGTCCTTTTGCCTCTGGGGCAATGGCCATGCTGGAGAGCCGCTCGTGAGGGTTCTGGACCTAGGCCTTTAAGGTTCTTGTCTTTCTCTCAGAAAAGAATTTCAGGAGGAGATAAGCAGTGAAGTATAACAGATTTTATTGGAAAGTTTTGAGGAAGAGGGGAGTTAAGAGGAAGAGGGAGAATGTACTCGAGAGAACATGGGCTTCTCCAGAGTGGAGAAGCCCCAGTATACATCCCAGCATTAGATATTAAAGTATCATATCTAATGGGCCTCCTGTGATTTATATGAAGTGGAGAGGAGAGGGATAGCAACTTGGAGAATGCATCTGCTGCTTTCTTCTGATCCACCTCTGCCACCGTGGGACCAGCTGGGAAGCCTCAGACTGATAAAGCAGAGTTGGGAGCAGTTGATGATCTTTGAAATACCTTCCTGCTTCTATTCTGCTGGAACTTCCCTTGGAAGGGGAGTGGGGGTTGTCTAGTCTCCTCAGAGTCTGTGATGGAGCCAGGTAAATGTCTTATCAGGTCTTAGTTCCTGTAACCACAAAGTGGGTCCTAATGAGCTTAGGGCCAATTGATTTTATTACTTCCCAGGATTCCCCATTGCCCTGGGGACCCTTCCCTATCCACCTGCATGTCTCGGTATAATAAAGTGGTACACTAATGTGCACCACTTCAGTGGGATAGTGATTCCCAGGAGATGAACAGGGTGCTTATGGGCTGTACTTGTTAGTAGGTTACAACTGAACTTTAGAAGTGTAGAGTAATTCTCTGTATTTTTTTTGCTGACAGGCTAGGAGAAGAATAAAGATAGGGTCCTTTATGTCAGAAGCCCTTGGCTCAAACTCCCAAGATGGAGAATGCATCCGCTTGTGCTTTCCTGTGAAAAGTTAGTTTTATAAAGATTTTTCAAACTGTTCACAAAATTTCATAACTTCATCTTTTCTAACAGCTTCATAGTACTCTATTGTGTAGATGTACCAAAGTTTCTTTACATGGAAAGTATCATGCTAAGCGAAATGAGTCAGAAAGAAAGGGACAGACATAGAAAGATTGCATTCATCTGGGGAACATAAAGTAACAAAATAGGAGACTAACACCCAAGAATAGCTGATATAAGTACCAGGAGTTTTACTCCATGGCTTGGAGGCCAGCCGCACATGCTAAGGGAAGAGGCAGCTCAGATAGAGAAGGGAGCACCAAATAAAAAGTGTTGGGAGGATCCACCCAGGATGGGAGGTGCATGTTGAAAGTAGACTATAGACCAAACATGATTGCCACTCAATGCCTCTACTGCAAACCACAGCACCAAAAAGGAGAGAGAGAACAAAAGGGAATGCCTTGCCACAGAGGCAGGGTGGGATGGGGGTATGAGGGGTGAGAGGGATATTGGGATCAGTAGTGGCGGAGAATGGGCACTGGTGGAGGGATGAGTACTCGATCATTGTATAACTGAAACCCAAGCACAAAAGTTTGTAAGTCTACAACTGTACCTCATGATGTTTCACTATTAAAAATTAAAAAAAAAACTGTTCACAAAAGTCTATTGCTAGGGTTTTGCCAAGGGGTTAGCTCCCAAACTACTGATGGTCTTCTTTGACCTTATTGTTGCAGCCCTTGTTTCTTCAAGAACTCTCCTCCCAGAGAATTCAGCCTATGCTCAGGGCTTTGCATTTTTGCATTTTAAAGGGTCTCTGATCTTCTCAACGGATTGTGTATATCAAAAGCCTCCAAGAATTTGTACTCTGTGATATGGAAGGTTGAGAGTGTGTTTGAGATTCCATTATATACTCTGGTTCTAGGAAATTTTCTCTAACTGTGTCAGCATTTGCTTCCTCTGACTACTTAAATCCCCAACCAACCTCTCCACTTACTCATATCTGACTAATGTGCCTATGTTAGTTATTACTAGATCTTAAGATCAAATGAAGACCATATTTAAACTTTCATAATGTTAAGAATGACACACATTTCTTGGAAGTCATGGTCTCCTTGGAGTAGCAATTACTATTTTGTGCTTAATATGCTCAGAACAGTAAGTCCAATTTTCAATATTGCAGATTCATAACGTTGTAGCTAATGAAGTTGGGCAGAAAACAAGAGAATTGATGGAGATATAGTAGAATTTTGTAAGGGCACTGAAAAATTAGTCAATCTAAAGAGTCTCTAATGACAAAGTACATAAGAGGTCAAATTTTTAGTGTGAAAGTGAATTTGTTACAGCAAAAAGTGAATTTTCCTGAGCTGTGGGTTCTTGAGAATTGCACGGAATATTCTCATAC